TTTAAAGATTCAATTTCTGGGACAGAGCGTCCCTGTGCCCCGCGGCAGCTGGAAAAAAATCCATTAAAATTGTTAAATGCAGCGTTGGCAGTTTTTATCCTGCTGCGCGCCCGCTCCCGCTCCCCATCCCCATACCCATTCCGCTCCCCACTCGCTTCCCTTTTGCACTAATTTGGTTGGCAGCCCTGGTTGGTGAGGTGTAACGATGTCGCCCGCCTGAAGTATGGCGCACTGCAATTTGCTCAGAGAGTCAAATGGATTTGACCTTAGCCACATGGGCGAGGTGAGTCGAGTTGAGTCAAGCTGGGCAAACACCACGGGTGGGATGGTGGATGTGGGGTGGAGTGTGGAGTGTGGAAGGTGGCGTGTGAATGTGGCTGTAGTATGTATGCTGGACCAGCACTAATGCTTAAGCTGATTTTAACAGACACACACGCACACCCATGCACTCATGCACCAGCACACACACATAGTACTTATATCGCGGACACCGACTTCATTTGCAGACAAAAATTTGTAGAGCATTGCGAGGAACAGTGGAACGACAACGATTCGGTTTTTGTGTCGTTAAAGTGGAAAATTATAGGAATTGCATACACAGGTACCTTACCTATGTACATACCTATGTATGTATGTATATATTATATTTTAAATACGTTAAAAGCTGCAATATAATTTCCAGGTAATTCCTGTCGTGTGTCCCAGTGCCCTGTTCGTGCTCTTTCTCTGTGATTGGAGCTTGTCCCTAGTGCTGCTCATGGAGTGATATAAAAAGTTCGTCTGCCAGTCAAAATTATTCCTTGCACGAACCATTTAGGGTCCCAGGCTCGGACTTCAATCTCTACCTAAGTCTCTCTTCTTAAGTCACTAATACTTACATACCCTTCCCGTAATTAGTAAAATTTGTCAGCTATCTTTGCATGTTTAGCTCTTTGAGTTGTGTTTAGCTCTAATTTCTCTCCTCGAATTTTCGTCTAACACCGATCTTTCCTGCCTGCTCGCGATCGGTTCGGTAACACGCGTCGCGCGTCGTGCGGCTGCGCCCCTCGGTCGGTTGGGCGAGAGGAGTTGCTGCGTTTCTGCCTGAGTTCCGCGTGCAACAGGCATCGGCTTGGTGTCGCATGGGCCACTTGATGGTGCCCTCAGATGTCATCAGGCACCCATCGAAGTGATGCAACTGCCAGCTGTCATGGGTCCCACTTGAATATTTAATCGGTTCTCCCCTATATCAAGTGTACCAAGTGAGTTTATAATTTTTTATAATTTATCCATCGTCTTCACACTGTGCACCGTGCACCGTGCACTGGCGGCTGGGGACTGGGGACTGGTGGACTGGCGCGCTGGGGACTGGTGGACTTGTGGACTGGTCGGCCGGACACTGGGCAAGTATCACGTAAGTAATGCAGCGCGGCAAGCGCATTAACACATTTACACGACAAACACATACACAAAGAAAAGTTAAAGAGAGAGTCAGAGAAAGTGAGGGGAACACAGACGGTGAGGGAGAGACACACAGACGCACAGGTAAAAAACGAAAAAAAAAAAAAAAGAGAGAGAGAGAGAAAGCACGCGACACGCTTAAAAAAATCTTTGCAACTTTCTTTCTGCGCCAAAAGCTGCAAATTTCATTTCACACCCAAAAGAGTCCAGCAGACATGCCAAACGAATAAAAGCGACTGACACGCAAGCACACACACACCACACACACACACACACACACACACACACACACACACACACACATACATATACATGCAGGAGCCAAAGGGTAAAGGAGATACAGCGAAAAAAGTGCATGGCCACGAATTAAAAAGGTCATTTGGTCGCACTTTAGACAGTTTGCTACTCTTTCTATTCCTTTGTCAACTTAGTTACATTTTTTCTATGGGTGAAATGCACAGGATAAGCAGGCGAAGGGATTGCAGGAGTGTAGAGGGAGAGAGAGAGGTCAAGGGATACCTTTCGGCTTGGGGACTTGTAAAATAACTTTGGCGCCTCTCCAAATGAGCAGCACAGCGGCGCGTGGCGCATCCCAAAAAAGAGTCAGCGAACATGGTTAGGGCAGGGGTATGGGAAGCAGCAGCAGCAGGAGCACCAGCAGGAGCTGGTTGCAAGTGCAGGGTGTGAAAAGCAAACAGGAGAAATAACCAAACCGAAAGCGGAAGCCGAAGCCGAGCTTAAGTGTCTGTGTCTGGGAATATGTTAAAGGCAAACAAAGGAATCAAAAAGAGGTTCGGGCTTTGGAAATGTTCTGGCAAATACACAACATAATCATAATCGATTTCTACACCAATAGAAATAAAGCCCTGAAATTTTAATATTTTCACTTAGATTTTAATATTTATGCCATTGATTTTCATGCAAGAGTGGTTGTATTAAAATTGCATATTTTTCACTTACATTTTGATATTAATATGAAAATATTTAAATTTCATATATTTCATATTTAAATTTTTATATTTCAATATTTAAATTTAATATGTTTAATATTTAAATTATATATATATTTAATTTATATATTATATTTAAATTTAATATGTTTCATATTTAAATTTAATATGCTATCAAATTAAATTTTAAATCTAATATGTTTTCTATTTATATTGAGTATATTTCATTTTTGAACTAACTGGTTATTATTTTGCCTGCGTGGGCTACATTTTAAGTCCTCATGGGGGTTTGTAATTGGTTAAGCTTTACAGCTAGAAATAATCGCAAAATGAGTAGAACTGCATTGGTTGAGATTATGCCCCTGCGCTAAGAAATTTAACTGTGTATTCAAGGCGGCAGCTGCTGGAACCAGTGGGAATTCGGGGAAGGGGACATAAAAAAAATAATATAAACATAGTTAAAATAAATACCAACAAATATTTGATTTCATTTAATATGGAATATTCAAAATAAAAAGGTTTTTCCTTTTGATTTTAAAAGAAAAATTTTGAAATCAAGTCATAATAATATTCAAGTTAAAAATGAAACATATTTAACTACAAATTTAATATGTTATAATTATTTTTAAGTGTTTTATATTTAGATTCATTATGACCGTATTAAAAAAGCATTTTTAATACATTCATATTTGAATCAAAGTGAATTCTATTCAATTTGACTATGTTTGTATTTAAAATTCGCATTTTAAATTCAAATATGAGTGTAGCTAATTTTACTATGCCTTTTTTTCTATCAGTGATGCAGTATGCTCAAGTGTCGGACATTAATTAGTGATTTTACCGTTGAGTTGTGAGCCCGAGCAAAACTAAGGCTGAGTGCTTGCAGTGTGTGTCTTCAATGGCAGCTTAAATCTGACTCAACCCCTTGAATCAAAATCCCCTTGGGCAGGCTCCAGCTGGAGCTGGACTTAAATCATTATTGCGATGGCACCGATTGGCCAAGAAGCAGCGGAGGAACATGTGAAGAGTGGTGGAGCAGAGAAGGAGCACCCGCCCCAAAAAAAGAAGAACTTTGATGCCATTTTAAAGTGCAGCAATAATTAACAGGCGGCGGGAAACAGCAAAAGAATAATCCGAAGCTGAAGCCAAGTCAGGAACCGTGGTAGCAGCAGTGGCAGTGGCAGGGGCAGGGGCAGGGACAGTGGCGAAAAGTGGCAAACAACAGACGGCAAAAGACAAAAGTACGTAGTATAAACAGGGCTTAGTTGACCAGGTTCTCCGGCTCCGGCAGGCAGTCCGTTTCGTTTTCATTTGCGCTGCTGCTGCGTTGCAAGATAAGAAAATTGCAATTTAATTAAACTAATTGAAAGACGATAGGCGCCAAAAGGTGTCCTTGGATATCGCCTGGGAAGGCCTCGCATCCACCCTGCAGTCATCAAGCCCTGGCTTATCCTTATCGCAGCCCGCCACAGACCAACAACAACAGCAGCAACAACAGCAACAACAGCAACAACAGGAGTAATCAGAAGAGGAGCTGTTGGGGAGCTGGGCGTGGAAAAGAAGAAAGAAAAGAAGCCATGCAAATTGCTGCTCATCTTTCTTCTCCTGCTGCTGCTCCTCCTGCTTCCACGCTGCTTCTCGTTTGCTGCCCATTTGCATTCAAAACCAATGCGCCGCCGTTGACTTTTGCTTGAGAATGCGAACGAAGGAGAACACACACACACACACACACACAGCCAGAATGGGAGAGACAGGGCGAGATGGTGGGTGGGCAGGACAAGAGACGGGAACGAAGGCACAGGGAAAATGAAAAGCAAACAGGCCATTGGCCAAGGACGGACGGACGATCCAGGCGGCTGGCCCAGTCGACGCATTCAGGCATACAAATGAGCCAGGGGAATGGGAATGGGAATGGGAATGGGTAATAGGCAAAGCAAAATGCACATGGGCTAGTGGCAATGACAGGAACGTGCCTGCAAAGAAAATTAACACATCGCCACCCGCCCCAATGCAGGCAGCTCCCCCTAACACACCACACACCACACACACACCCAGCCATAGTCACACACACACACACACACAGATCCATCAGTTTCAGGTTAAAGTTTGCCAAGAATTGCCAACTTTATTTCCATCTACCTTGGGACCTCCACCCACCCACCGCCTTTGATTGCAATTCAATATTTGCTGGCAATTGCAGATTTTTATTGTGATTGCGAATTTCATTCTGTTGTCTTTTTATGGCATAGGCTGCTCCTCTTGCAACTTTAAGACCCAAAGGACTGCCCTTTTGCGAATTCCATCTGGCTTAGCCTGCTGCAAGGATGGATTGAGATTCGTCAACATTAATGCAGGGCCCTTAATGAGAATCGGAATCCCACTACTAACACTGCCAGCTGGCGATCTGGACTCGATCGAGAGCATCAGGGCAGGAGCCAAGGCGTTGCTCAGCACTCATCAGTCCTCCAGACCTCACAGCTACTGGAACGGCGCTAGAGCCAAAGTCGGCTGACCCCCACCGTGATTGCCGTAGCCTGCATATCCCCTCTATAATAATCAAGTTGCCCAAATCGTTCTTGGAATTTATTATCACGCGTTCCAACACAAAACAGTCGCTGCGACATTGTTCCATTGGCTGCAGTTCGGTGTGGGGCAGAGCCAATGGCCCACCCACAGCTGAGTTCAACTGCCCCGATTCGGCGTGGCTTAATGTAATTTTTTAATCCAAAAACAATGTATTTCCAGCAACAGAATTATGCATAAAACAAGCAAGGAGTCGAAATTTAGATTGCGAAATGAGCGGCCACAGGGGTAAGTGCGGGCTTAAATGTTGCCTATGAATGCATTTGCTTATAGCCTGTATTAAATCACTGCCGGGCAAGACATGGCATCTGTAGCATCTGTAACAGCGTCGTCTCCCATCTCCCATCCTGTCTGAAAATGCTCGTACAAGGCTGGACGCATGTGGCCTGGAGGGCTGATTGATCGTTCGTGTCTGTGGCATAGGAACAAGAGGTCAGACGCGAAGAAGGTACTGGAAAAAGGTCCCAGCAAGCTCACCAGGTGTTAGCCAAAGGAGGAGCAGTCTCTGATTTCGGGTCTTGGGTTCCAATGGAGCAGAAAATATCTGATAAGAGTTCCGAGGCAACAGCACGGAGGAGGACTACGAGCGGAAGGTGGTCTGAGCCTAGATCCCGACACTCATTTATGGAATACTTACCACAGTGAAGATCCACTTCTTGCGGCCTGTCGTTGCTGCTCCACCAACATAAAAACTTAAACTAATAATGGAAATATTTTGAACTGAACAAATAATTATTTTTTTGGTTGGGTTTGTCGGTTGGCTAAACGTCTCGAGCATCAGGCGGCGGATCCGTGCTCGAGTCCCACTCGTTCGGGTTGATGAACATCTGAGAGGCACTGCCGCGCAGGGAGTCAAAGCCCTGGTTGAGGGGCACGGGCTTGGGCCGCTTGTCGATGTTGGCCATCCACTTGGACCAGGCCCCCTCGGACCGCTGCAGCCGCTCCTTCCTCTCCTGCTCCTTCTGCTCACGCTGGCGTCGAGCGCGATCCCGCTCCTGCTGCTGCTGCGCCACCTTGCGGCGCTCCCACTCCTTGAGGCGCTCTCTACGCTCCTCCGCGGTCTCCTTCTGGCGGCACCCTGCGGCGCTAGGGACAGGGCCAGGGACGGATGTGCAGGACTTCTTCTGGATGAGCGTGGACGTGTTGTTCCGCTCCTGCTGCTCCTTCCGGAGACGCCACTCCCTGACCTGCCTCTGAGACTGCTCCAAGCGCTCGGTAGTCGCCCTTTCGCGCTTCTCGCGTTCCCGCTTCGCGGCCAGAATCTTCTTCTTGCGCTCCTCCGCCTTGCGCTGCTTCCACGCCTCGAACTGCAGGCTGTCGCGATCCTTCTTCTGGGCTTCGAGGCTCTTGAACCCGGTGGAAACGTGCGGGCTGCAGCTCTCCAAGTTCAGAGAGGGCAGAAAGTTACTGCCACCCTCCGGTGCCTCGAGGACAGCGGCATACGCGTCACTCCAGCTGCAGAGGGACTCCCTCGCAGTGTCCGGGGTGCAGCTGCTGCTGGTCATCAGTTCGCGATCTTCGCTGGCCTCCATGTCCTCTGGTGTTTCACTGCTCAGGAGGTAGGTCCTGCAGCTGTTGTAGGACTTCAGACTGTCGGTGGGTGAAGCCCCTCCCTGGATGAGGGTGGACTCCGAGAGGTCCCTGCAATCGCCGATAGACGCGGCCGGTACAAGGGTCCCTGTCTCACTTCGCCAATCCTCCTGGCAGCCCCACTTATTGCCCTCCTCGAGGCCGAGACCTGCCAATGCATCTCCCAGTTCCCCTTCCTCCAGTTCCCGGCAGAAGCTCGCCATAGTTTCGGTTTCGGTGTCGGTGTCAGTGTCCAGGAACTCAGCAACATCCTCTCGATTGCCCACCAGGGTGCAGGATGAAGAGTCTGTGTCCGTGTCGGCATCTGCTACGAGTGGATAGAGAGTGCGATTGGTGAGTCCCGCAGTCGACTCCTCCGAGTCGCTCAGGTCGCGCATGTCACGGGTACGACGGCCCGACAGCTGCTTGCGATCCACCACTTCGCCCCTCTGGTTCTGTCGAGCCATAAAAGCCATTGCGCTGGCCTCGAGTGCCGTTGGTGGGGATCGAAAGCAGGACGGGAGACGTGTGGGAAGACTGCACAGAAAAATGCAAAATGAAAAGAATTAAATTTCCAGATTTCTGTTTCTGTTTTCTGTTTTTCGGATGATGTTTTCCGTTTGTTGTGTTTTGGATGAATGATCTGTACTGAGGGATCGAGCGACGAGGGGGGTTGTGTGACCCAACAGAGGTTGCAAATGGTACTAGATTTCGGGTTTACTGCTGGGTGTACCTTCGGTTATCCTGACTCCAATGAAAGCATTTTAACTGACAACAAACAATAAATGAAGCAGCGCTGGTCCCGTTTGTTCCGTCACTGTATAACCTGAGTGGCGTAGTTAGCCCATGGGGAGTACATTTTATCAGTGTGAAAAAGTTTATTGAACTCTCTTGTTCGCTTATTAATTTAGCAAGCTGAAATGGCCGAGGGCCCCACTGTGCGGCACTATCTCGAGCTTGCTCTGCGCGTCGCTGACGAACAGCCGAACCATAGCCGAAAAAAGAGTAGAAAAAGCGCGCGCTCCCTCTGTCCAGAGAAGAGCTTTTGGGTCGCGCATGCAGCGTCTTGTTTGTGTATGGCCTTTGGGTAGGCAGGTAGACGGATGAATGGAACATCGCTGCAGTGCGCTGTTTGCCTGCTGTTTGCTTGCCTGCACGGATCATGGCATGGATCAGTGCTGTAACTTGTGGGCTGCGCCTTCTTTGTTCCTAATTAATTATGTATGTACTTTCGTATGCAAGTGACTCAACGCTACTTAACCTATTAATTACCGTCCATCGGTTAGTACTATGTGGAAGAAAGGGAAGGGGCAAAGCGCATGGCGCAGCGCTGTCCATGTGTTTATTCGTAATTATTATTTACTATATATTCATATAGCATTGTATCATACATATTTTTTTTTTGTTTTTTTTTTTGGTGAGTGCTATTTAAATCTATTTAAATTTAGTCCAATGAATTTAGTTCATGTCTGTTCAATCGGAATCGTCGCGCGGTTACGTAATTATAATCTAATGGTCCCATTTCTGCTTCCGACGTAACCACGGAATCGTCGGTTTCTTATGCATGTGTGGGCGAAAAGGATCCGCAAATGCAGCAAGGAAAAAGTAACAGCGCAAAACTATAAGCCAAAGGGTAAGCAAAAGAAGGGAGCAGAGCGCAGTCTGCTTTGTCTCCCTGTTATACCATAACTTGAGTATTTTACTCCTAGTTTTAATGAAGTTTGCCAAATCAATTTGTTTTACATCTGTTACATAATATGATTGGTTTTATCTTCCCCTGCACAACCCAGACTATTGCTAAAGCTCACACAATACATAATGAAATAATAACTAAGCCGTGCACCCTTTAAGTATATAATTGCTTTTACTCGTTCTGGTTTAGCCCCTTACTGGTTACCTCCTGGTTACCTAGCTTCGCCTCTGGTCAGAATATCGACATCCTATCCTTTCGCTTGACATGTTTGCTTCTCTTTGGACTTCGTTCACTCTGATTTGGTTTCAAATCTCTAGCAAATCTCTCTCTTTCATTCATAAAGTAGACTAAACTCCCACAAAATTCCCTTGCGCTTATCTCAGCGCGCAGCCAGAGCTCCGGGGAGTGCGACGAGTGCCGACGCCATGGAATATTGCAACTAAGTGGAGAGGCAGCTCAGCCAGTCTATCTATCTATCTCACTCTGGAGCACTGCTCCTTAACCCTGTCCATCCATCGCCATCCAGATTTCACATTCTTTGGTAGCAAAATTATTTTGGTTGGTATTTTTTCCTTATTTTTTTTCCTTTTATAGTCTCTCTCTCTCTCTCTTTTGCTGGTTAATTCTTACGCACTGTTTTTATATCTCTTTCTTTTGCTGTCTTCGGTCCTTGCCTTGGCTTGCTCCCACTAGTTTCATGCCAAATTGAATTGCTGTTGGGGGCAAAGTCAACGTTTTCAGGCTTCCCGACACTTTATAGTTTTATTTTAACGTTTACTTCTCATTTTCTTATTTTTCCTCTTTTTTTTTTGGTAAAATTGTTTGGCTTTGCCGCTTGTTGACTTACGCCAAACAGACTGACACGCCCACACGCACATCATAATTTATGTGGGAGCTAAGCAAAAGTGTTAAGTTGCCTACACGAAAAATGAGCGCGCCGCAAAACTTTGGTTGACTTCAAAAAAAACCAAAAAAACCAAATAAAAAATATATGTATGTGTGTATACACTGACACTCTTACACATCCACACTGCTACACGAGTTTGAGTGCGTGGCAGAAAGGGGCTGGGATAGGGCAGGGCAGGCACCACCAGCACACTGATTCTCGCTCACAAGATGCAAGTGCCTCAATCTTTACATAATAAAACAAATAGAGCTTACAATGATACGAGTAGGAAATAAATAAATAGATTAAATTAAATAATTGAACTCTTTTTTTTTTTTTGGCATGCAAAGACTGCTTTGACCCACTGTGCGCTCTAGTGAGCGAGTGGCCTGCGGTTTCTTCTGCTGTTGCTGCTGGCATAAGTGGATTACCGTATTAAGTTTTTATTATTAGTCTAAATGGCAAAGTCCTCGTTGACTTTCGGGGAGTAACAAACTGGATGGAAGTGGGAGTGGGAGTGGTAGTTGGTGTGGGAGGGGAAGTGGAAGAGTGTGGTTGCCTCAGGGAAGTGGGTTAAGTTGAGAAAACCCTTGAGCCAGGGCAAGATGCGTGGCTGTTGGATGTGTGGGCCTGGGTCTTTGCCAAGATGAAAATTAAGTGCAAAATAAGAAAATTAGCTTAAAATAAATTCTGTTGCGGTTTCAGCGTCCTTCAATATTCATTTGGCTTTTCTTGTGTGCGCGCGCGTGGTCTACAAAGAGGATTAATAATTAGATACGACACTTAACATGTGCATGACTCCCTCAGACCGACCCGACCCGACACAGGCCACGCTTCAGCCCCAGCCCCAGTCCCAGCCCCAGCGCCAGCCCATTTCCACCCGAGAGGTAACCACCGAACCACCAAGCCACCCATTCACAGAGGAGAGGATGAATCGTTTACATTTTCTGCTCAATTCTCAGAGCGTTCATTTGTATGGCGCAAGAAGGCATAACTTTCATTTATGACAGGCCCAGTTCGCATATTATGCGGTATATTCCCTTCACTTACCAACTCTCCCCGAGTTCCCAGAACCATATAGGGGAGTGGCCCCCTCCCCACCCCAGCCCAACACCATTCATGGACCCCTTCGGGCCATCAGTGCATATGCATAAAGTTTATGAGGCACTGGCGATTGCAAAACTTTTACCAACAATGGCGACAAAAAGTTTCGCTTCCCGTCTCCTGGCTGGCTACCCATTCCTCTCCCTCTCTCTCACTCTCTTTCTCTGTCTCGCTTTCGACACTTGCCCAAAAGTTAAAGACAACAACAAAATGCGACAAAATAATGCAACTTAAACAAAAAGAAATTCATACATATGGCAAATTGTCATCGAACTTGACGAAAATTTCGCACCAAGGAAGGGGATCCAAATAAAAAAATAAAAAAAAGTCAAGCAACATTTTCAAGTGGAATGCAGATGAAAAGTTGGCGAAAAGTGTAAGAGTTTTTCAAGTGGCACTTTGGGAGTGCCCAGAACAAATATGTATATAAATTTAGCAAAATTTTCTGGGCTAAATAAAAAAAAAATGTCCAGCCATCGAAATCGAAGAGTGTCTGGGCATACCGGAAAGGGAAGAACGATAGTCGCTTGTAGTCTTTAGTTGATCGACCCTAAATTTGACAACATTGTGTGCAATTATTTCATAAGTGCTGAGCTGACCAACCAACATAAATACCACAAAAATACCATAAGCTCTCTCCTCAGGAAGTGAAAGTTCATTGCCAGAGACAGAGCCAGAGACAGAGCTAGGGACGGAGATAAAGCCAGGGACAGACATACACACAAACATTCTGCAGCTGCAGAACTCGGTTTATTAACTCAACTCGAAATCTTTGACTATTCTATTATCTCAAATTTAACTTGGTGATTAAATTTATCCATCCATCTCTTACTCTGTGTATTTCTTTGCTCTACCGCATCAACTGGCTCTGTGCAGTCGCAAATGCGCAGAGAATCCGAGTAAAGTCTTTTTCTTCGGAGCAAAAGATTTAAAATCAAATTAAATGCTTGTTGAAATGTCATCCACACATACGAAGTGGGCGAGAGCGAGACAGAGACAGAGACAGAGACAGAGACCGGAAAACAGATTCAAGTGCTTTGAGTATAAGGAGAGGTCTGGGGGTAAGCTGCTGCATCAAGTGTCATGCAATAAATATCACTCAAAACTTTCCATCTCTTCTCTCACAAGCACCAGCCATAGCCATAGCCCCAGCACCATCTCTGTGTATGTCTCCGTACCCATCCCCATCCCCATCCCCGTCCACGTCTCTGTTTCTGTTTCTGTCTCGATTCGTTTCGCTCCGTTTTTGGGCTCCATGTGTAGCGATAAAATGTATCTAGTTTAAGATGTTTTTGCCGCCTGGGCAAACTGTCATGCCAGGGACTGCCTTTGCTTTTGCTTTTGCCACAGCCCTGCCTCAACTGTACCTGACCAGATCAGCCCTGCCCTGCCCTGCCTCTGGGAAAGCCTCGCAGGAAAACTCTTGGCCAAAGTAGGAAGAGCAGTAAACATTTTTAATTTGACAAAACTTTTTACCTTTGACCACAGAGAGAGAGAGAGAGAGAGAGAGAGAGAGAGAGAGAGGGTGCCTGGAAATGGAAAGGGTTAGCACGGGAGTGGGTTCTAAGTCTGTGGCGGTTGACTCTGTGCAAAATGTGAGGTCAATGCGGCAAACTGAAGTCTGACGTCTGATGGAGTCCAGGCCGAGGTTGAGAGAGAGAGAGAGAGAGAGAGAGAAGAGCTCAATGAAATGAAAATTTTCCGAAAATTAAACCAGAGGACTTAAGCACATTCCCAGAGCCACACAACACACAACACATACCCCCCCTGTAAGTATGTTTGCTGGTCAGTGT